GAGACTGACAGAATATTAATGGTTAGGTTCAAAACAGAATTTCCAGCGTAATGGATCTTTAACGAATTGTCTGTAAACCTTGACTGACATTTTGTTTAGAATCGACAAAAACTCATCAAAATTGGCGATCTTTAATTATATTATACTGTCTATTTTAAGCCGTTACGGGCCTAAATGGAATGCCATACTAGTTATTAGCATCTGTCTTATTATATTTTCATGTAATGTCGTCCTTATGGCAGACATGATAAGGAAAACATGTTAATATTATCAAGAGAGATTATGGTAATCGTTCTTCGTATTGTGTCGTTAAAGATTGGAAATCTCTTAGAACAACCGCAGTAGGAGACCTGGCTCTCCTCGATAACATGTCCTATTGTAAATAGAGTTCTGAAAGTCAACCAACCACCCACTCAGTGAATTGAATAAAAATGCAAACAGTATGGTAAACGATCTTAATCAGAATAATAGAAAAATCCACATGATAACGTATGAAAACAGCTTTCTTGTGGTTTCAATACAAGGAAGTTTCCACGTCTATCGACAGTCTGGCAGTAAAAAATTCGGGCGTGAACAGAATCCATCAAGAATGTTGTCATGTAGAATGGACAAGAGATGGAGCCTAGCAATTTCATACTGCTGAGAAAATATTAAATTTTTCTGATCTTCACCAGATTTAACACAGATCATCATTACCGTAGTATGACCTACTAGAACAATCTATACAAGAGTTTCAGAAGGTCTTGCTCATTGGCTGTGATCGTACGCACCTATGACCTTCAGAAAAGTATATCATTGTAATTAGTACAAACGGAGTAAAACATAATCAATGACAGCCTCATCCTTGGTGCAATCCACAAACCCCTCAAAAAACCCATCTCAGAACGCAATCTTAAGATTGTAATTTCGATAAAAAATCGTATCCAAGACTTCCAGAGTTCCGTCAATCACAAATTATCAAACCCTCGCGACGATATCATCCTCGCTTTGGTGAAATCCACAAACTCAAATGAAAATAATAGTCATTTTGTTTGACTGGACGATAGAGCTCAATTTGAACTATGTCGTTTTCACTTCTACCTTCTATTTCTATTCAGCTGATAAATGAAAATAGTACTCCAATATTTTTGTTTGACTGGATGCTAGAGCTCAATTTCAGCGGTCTATTTAACTTCTGTCAGCTGATGAAGTTCAATTCTATGTCATCTTTCAGAATTATAATCTGATGTTCCATTTACGGAAATTAGAGGGCAATCATAATGTGAAGATTTTAATTCTGAAACGTGATGTGGTAAATTCTGCTCTATTGCCTGTCAAAGCAGAATTAAGACCACAATATCCCTTTAAAGTCGTCACGAATAGGACAAGAGTCTTTGAGATAGTTGAGGAAGTAAGAACGAAAGACAAAAACAACCGTTTTTGACGAGAATGACAAATGAGGTTCTCCATGATCCCGTCAACATGCTTGTCCTTGGCTAACCTGGTATTTATCCCGTGGATTATAAGGCACCAATTATGGCTGAGTCAACTGGAATAACGATGATCGATGACTTATGCATGGACTTTATCAAAACCTGCATTGTATGCTCCATTAGTAAATACAATTTCCACCAGACATTCAGTTATTAAAGACCATAGAGGGTAAAGGTCCATTTAAGCTCATGTCATGACATAATCCTTTCCATCTCGGGTCAATTGCAATATTTATTTTTTTACCATGAAATGTCCCAATAGGTTGCTACGTAATTAAACAAGAATAAACATCTATTATACCGAAAAGCTCTAGAGAGTCCATAAAGCTATTAGATTTAATCATTTCTGGAACAGATGCAAACTGAAAACCTATTAACATGTAAATTATTAAGATTAATCATTATGTGAAATGTTCTAGTAATATGTAATCTTAATGATGTTTATTCATGTTGTTACGAATATTCTCTTCAACACGTCCGATACTGTTATATATTTGATGAGAACGTGGAAATCATATTGGTAATGTTAATCCCGAATGTTAAAGAGATATGGAAGTATAAAAAGTTGCTTTAATGTAATTCATATTCAGGCATCCGTATCACGTTCAAGTTTTAAAATCGACACCAGCTTCTTTTGAAATTCAAAAAAAAAGTGATATACCAGTTTAGACTATCGTCACTTTCATTAACATTCCCATGTGCTCATGTTACCGATCGGTCATGACTGTCCTATGCAGAAACCATATTTGTGTATCTTTGCTTGTAGGAACATGAACATTGTAACAAAGTCCCCTTCCCCTATAAAAAGTGAAATCCTGTAATTTGATGAATGCTCTGTCATAGCATAAAACCTCCTTGCTGTCCCATGAAGAGCACAAGATACGCTGGGTTGAATAGCAATATTTTGACAGTGAGCGACAGTGTCCAGTGAACAACTGTCCAACCCCCTATAGCAATATTTTGACAGTGAACGACACTGTCCAGTGAACAACTGTCCAACCCCCAATAGCAATATTTTGACAGTGAGCGACACTGTCCAGTGAACAACTGTCCAACCCCCAATAGCAATATTTTGACAGTGAGCGACACTGTCCAGTAAACAACTGTCCAACCCCCAACCCCCTCCCCCCCTCCAAAAAAGGAAAAACCTCTATGAAAACACATGAGTAGGTCGCCCTTAAAATGCAATTCTACAAAATTGTAAGTGAAAGATTCAGTTAGTGATCATTGTTTTGATAACGGCAACAGATGTTCCCACTCATGAATATAACACATAAAACATTACATTAAATATAATAACATGCATTTGATTTACATATATAATAATATGATTATATTGACACAAATTCTGATATGCATGACTTGAGGTGCGGGCACACGAGCGGTCATGGTCGGAGATTTTTGTCGCCGATTAAAATCTTGAGTAAAATCATGAGTGTGCCCGTGCTTCCACGAAAAAATTATTGCGTCCCCGATAGTTTTATCGTCTACAAGACAGACTATCATCATCCAATCAGATTCATTTTCCTTTCAATTGTATGATACGCTGGTGATTATCGACATGAGGGAAAATGACAGACTGGAGATTATTGTCTCCTAGTCGGCGAAACTCCTAACAAGACTTTAGTCGGCGACAAAAGTCTCCGACCAAGACTACTCGTGTGCCCACACCTTTTACTTAATAGATAACTCCATAATAGTTAAAGCTGAATCAATAAAATGTGATGATTTATTCGCAATGATGACTAATCTGAAGCTTGTTTATCTAAAACATAGTTTTGCTTCAAAAATTTTCCCCATGGACCCAGTAAACGTTTTAACAAATGACAATCTATGTCTTTCCATATGTCCCCACTATTTTGTGTTTGAAAACCACAGTGACATCAAAACTGGCACGTTACTCGACGTTCTATTAAAGCTAGGAATGATCAATGAAAATGTAAATATTATACGAAGATGAGATACAAGTAAACAATAAAATTTGGACTAAATTTTTTATTATACACATTCAATTATTTATAAGGACCTGCAAATTTCGGCAACCACGTTAGGCAGTCCGTTTACATTTCGCTGTATACGCTTGAGAATCTAAAGATTTTAACCTGCCGTAAAATTTAAATGATAACATGCAATAAATCCTTTAGTTTTCAACTGATTTTCTTCAACTTAGTGAGCGCTTCCTGTTTCACCAACCGCATGCATGAGTGGGCGTATTAGGTCGTGATAACCATCTTCAAAGCTCTCTTCAGGTTTGATAAACATATTCAATAGCAACACGTGAATCCACTATGTCCACAATTAATGTGTTAGCCTTAATGCACCTATTATAGCATATAGATTACACGTTACATGTACATTATTTCGATTGATGTCAATCTGCAAATACATTAAGAGATGTTAAAACTAGCAATTTAGAGCGAGCGTGTTAACAATTATACGAACAGATGTTATGTATAATAAACCTTATACATTTTACTATGCCTTATTTATAATGTTAAATTATGTCATAAATAGCTAATAAAAGGCCTAAAATTAATCATTTAAAGAGGCATTCCAGTTTTTTCGTAAAAATTTGTATTTATCAAAAACGTCGTAAATTATACCTCTTTTTCAAAAGTATGCTTCGATATTATTAGTTGAAACCTTCAGAATACATATTTCTCTACAACTGGGTGTTTATTTTACTTCAGTAGTTTTCTAACAGCTTCCAAAAATCATAAAACATTTGCTTTAAATATGCACTTAGCGAGAATAGTGTATAGTGCAAACACACATTGTTCTTTTTAAATATAATAACGTAGGCATAGGTATAATATGAACGTTAACGGTAAATAAGTAATGTGTCAATGGAAATTAATCGAATTGTAAACGGTAAGCGTGTTCGTTAACGGTAAGTAAACTAAAATGCCAAAGATAGATGTTAAATGAACGTGCACGTTAAAGGTAAACCAGTGGCAAAGATATATGAGCATGCACATTAATGGTGCAATATCAAGATATATGATGTAAAAATGCATGAGTGTGGTAAGTAAATGACAGTGTCAAGATAATATATGAGCGTATACGTTAATTATTGGCAAATGATAATGTCAAAGTTACATGGACGTGCACGTTAATGCCAAGCAAACGAAAATGTAAAGACGTGTGAGCGGACACGTTAATGGCAAGTCAACGTCAATGTCAACATATATGAGCGCGCATGTTAATGGTAAGTAAAGACAGTGTCAATAAATATAAGCGTGTACGTTAACGGCGGGTAAAATACAGTGTCAAGATATATGAGCGTATACGTTTATGGTAAGTAAACGAAAGTTTCAAGATATTTAAGCGTGTACGTTAATGGCAAGTAAACGAAGTTGTCAAGATATATGAGCCTTTACATCAATGGTTACTTACTAATAATGGAAAGTAAACGAGAGAGTCAAGATATATGATCGACCACGTTAATGGCATGTTAAAGACAGTGTCAAGATATATGAGCGTGTATGACAATGGTTCGTAAACGACAATATCAAGATACCCGAGCGTCTACGTTAATGGCAAGTAAACGACAGTGTCAAGATATATGATCGTGTACATAAATGACACGTAAACAACACTGTCAAGATAAATGAACGTGTACGTTAATGACAAGTAAACGACACTGTCAAGATAAATGAACGTGTACGTTAATGACAAGTAAACGACAGTGTCAAGATATATGATCGTGTACATAAATGACACGTAAACAACACTGTCAAGATAAATGAACGTGTACGTTAATGACAAGTAAACGACACTGTCAAGATATATGATCGTGTACGTTAATGACAAGTAAACGACACTGTCAAGATATATGATCGTGTACGTTTATGACAAGTAAACGACACTGCCAAGATAAATGAACGTGTACGTTAATGACAAGTAAACGACAGAGTTGGTAATTTTCTATCAAATTGATGTATTCCAATGCTGTAATTCACAGTCCCTTCTTGTGACCTAGGCCAGTGCTTCTATAAGAGAGTTTCTCTTATAAAACCTTATACAGAGTCCAGATGTATGAGAGAGTGCGTTAATTCTCCAGAGGATATTTGGTTCGTTTTTTCAACTATCAAATATAGGTCAAGGCCAAAAATTATCCGTACCACAAACAGCTTAGCTTTTTCCTCTAATTCAAAAGATATTATAATTCTTTCCTTATACACAAATACTGAGAAAGTTCATTGTTAGATATTGATCAAACTGTCAAGGGAATTCAACTTTAATATAAACTGTTTAAATAAATAGCACTATTTGACACCCTGTCCATTAATATTAAACACAAAACAGCATAATCTGTCAACGGATTGGTTAATTGATCTAGTAAATCGAACTAAAAAAAGGTATCATGAAGTCTTACATTCGTTATCAGTAGAGGGTCTCGTTGTAGACTTCTCGACTCTGTTCGGTGAGTTCTCTCACAAAACGTACATGTTTGATGAAGTCACTAATCACGAAAGTCTTATGTGATATATTTGGCGATAAGTGAAGATTGAGGAATTGCAGTAAGCCTGATTGAAAATTGGAATGGTTCAAATTGATGTTATCAGTATCCCCGATACACATAATTATTTTTAGAAAACTTCTTTATAATCCCTTTAAATTTTACAATCGTCCTAAGTCTTCTGATTTTCCTCTGATTTCCAAAAACAAGCTGTAAAGAAATACAGCATAAACAACTAAAAGAGACGTCAAAATGTGATGACGTATTACTTTTTTGCGTATCATGTGGTTGTTTTGAAGCATCATTTTAGGCTAAAAGAAATAAAAATAGATTTTTAAAATTTGAAATAGATACAGTTAATCGATCAATGTCTGCCTCAAAAAATAATATAAATATAAAAAATATAAAAAAAATTGCACAACCTTCATGAAAAGAAAAAAAAAGGTTGATGACGTAGGCTAAGAGCTCTACCTCCCAACTTCAGGGTACCACTGAAGCAATTAAAGAATAATGATAATTGATAAAGGTAGTAGTTACATTATAATCGTCGATGATTTCGGTATTTCTGTTAAAGATCTGGAAACTACCAGAGCATTGGGTTTTCTGTCTATAATACCAGATAAGTACCCCACATGCTTAAATACTTTAGCAATCTCTTACCCAATTAGTATTATCAATCATTACAGTCAAAATCTCAGCCACCGGTGAAATTCCACCAATCATCTATTATACATACCACTTTTTCGTAGATACTTTGGACATTGTATTGGATATTGATGATGACGAAATCGAAATAGCGTGGATTTTTTTTACGAGATCGTGAAGATACTTTGACTAATAAAAACTGTCTTAACAGCTCAAATTACAGGAAATGAAGCCTATACCCCCAACATTAAGACGGCGCATCCTCCAACATTAAGACGGCGAATATACTCCTAACAATAAGACGGCACATATACTCTCAACATTAAGACGGCACATATTACCTCAACATTAAGACGGCGTATATAGATCACCCAAACATTAAGACGGCGCATAATATATTCCTAACATTAAGACGGTGCATATACTCCCAACATTAAGACGGCGCATTTAACCCCAACATTACGACGGCGCATTTAGCGCATATACTCCCAACATTAAGACGGCGCATTTAACCCCACCATTAAAACGGTGCATTTAACCCCAACATTAAAACGGTGTATTTAACCCCAAAATTAAAACGATGAATTTAACCCCACCATTAAGACGGTGCATTTAACCCCAACATTAAGACGGAGCATTTATACCCAACATTAAGACGGCACATATACTCTTAACGTGATGACGGCGAATATATAACCCCAAATTTAATACGGCGCATATACCCCCAAAATTAAGACCGCGCATATATACCTCCAACATTAAAACTACGTATTTATATCAAAGTACATACAAATCGCGATAGATTCATTACTATTCGGGTTAAAAACATCTTAATTATTTGAAATTGAGAGGTTTTATGCACATGGTGTTAGCAATTTAATTAAAACATTCCCATTCAAATGGATACAAATGTCTTTCATTAAGCTTTGCTTTTCAATTTAATAACACGTTGAGAAGTTCTGTAAAGCGTCATCTAAACCCAATAGAGCTGACACCTTTTAGCCTTACCGACATAATGGTACCTTGTTCTCAAAAAGGCTTTTCATTACTCGCACTATTCAATTTAATAATATGTTTACAAGACTGAAATTATATACTGTATTGAGAAAGGAGGAGAGTGAAAGAAGCCATCGAACCAACTAATTTGTTCCAGGAATAGCTTATTTTAACCATACTACATTAAAACATGATTGATTTCCATTTAATGACATAAAAACGGCCTATTTCACACTTCTGGACAATTATCAGAAGCATAGTTTAATATCTCTTGTATATGTCATAGTAGTCCGAAATTTGTCTGTATGGTCCCTGGTATTGGTATTGGAATGACGTCAGTCAAGTTAGGCTCGGAAGATTCTGAAGCATTCACTGTTTTATTGGGCGATTCCACAATGTAACACAGACTCCAACCACAAAGCAATTGAACCTTCAACCACAGCAATCTGAGAGAAAGAAACAAGCAACCATCTCTAAGGATAAGAATTTAGGTTCACTTCTACCAACTCTAGTCTTTGCGTATACCTCTTAGCGATTGATCTTTCCTGGATTATCCACTTACAGCTGGGCCGACTGGAACAATGCGAACCTGATAAAACAGTGAATTTTGTCAATCTGACCCCACTAGTTGTGATCTGGTTGTCCGTCCGGAATCAGTGACCATCTAGCTGATGGCAGTTTTTAGCAAAATGTTAATCTGGTTGTCCATCCGAGTTGATCGTAGTTGATGGTAATCGGTTAGTTTGACCACAGATGCTTTCCGATAACCATTCAAAATGAGTTCGTATGACTCGGACTAAAGTCAATGTAACCCACGGTCGTTATGGAGCATTTAAATATTTTATACAAACGTTTTACAAACAGAAATATTAGAATTCAATGCAGCGTAATACTGTGTTCTTCTAAAGCTGTTAAAAGTGGTCGACAAGAATTTCTAATAAGATATTATCAATCTTCTTGTTTTCTAGTTTAAGAGAAGTTCAATACAATCTCAATACAATCTGACAGGATCTCGTTAAAAAAATTCGCTATTTATGTTCAATTTACAGTTTTGCTGAAAGCGTCATGACCAACCCTAATAATTACATGACAAGGAAAAATGAACGAATGTATAGCGTTTTGCTGATATCTAAATGATGACATGACAATGAATAAATGAATGAAAAAAGGAAGGAATGAATAAAAAAAAATACGTTACTACAACCTAACGGTTAGGCAACCAACGATAATCTCAATTAATGTCGTTGCAATATATCTGGCTATTATGGCAAAATTCCCTTAGCCACCCCAGTCACCCGAGAAATACAAACGCATGTATATATATATATATTATGTTATGTACAGAAGAAGTTACCTTATATATTATATTAGACGCGCCTAAACTCAATCCTGAGTTTTTCATCGTGAAAGTTTTTGATAATCTGTAGCTCATTAAATTCAATTTGATTTCATGTTTCTTAACTTAGTAATGCTTAATTACTTGCACCAAATACTCAGATTATGTGTCAGATTATTTATCCGTTGATCTTAAAACAAATCAAAAAATGTATTTTCGTATGCTATTATACAACGTCTCTTCCAAATGTCAAGAACTTTTACATATTTCTACCTTGTTTCACTTTAACAGGTAAACCTGGTATTAGGGGCCAAGGTAATAAGTATATAAACTTTCATGATATCACATGATTTTCAAATCGACCAACAACGCACTTGTTGGTAGCCATTTTTATGGTTTGTTTTGTAATTATAAACACGAAACTCCTGAGTATTTTATGGGTACAGGAAGGCCCTCTCGAATCTAAACGTCTTTTCGATTTTAAAAGGACATGTAGGCCATTTTTTTGACCAATCATACTTTAGTCTCATAAACTGGAATTTTTTAGCTGAGCTAATCAGTAATAATATTCACAGTTCACCGTCGAAATTTGAGCCTTCAAATCCATGTGTGTCCAGAATTATCTTCGTTTGAATGTTAAAATGACGACTCGTTTGATATATAGAAAAGACATATATAAAAATAGTGAGTTAAATTCATAGTTTGAAGTATTTTCAAAGGAATTATGTGACTTTCTTACATTTCTGGTACTTCTGAAGACTATTTACATAATATTGAAGGCTAAAATACACCCCCCAAAATGGCAGATCTGTCCCTTTAATGTCGAAAACCGTAAATTTTGACGCATTATCTTATCGACAAACAATAACATTCAAGAAGTTGAACGATAAACAGAGGACATTAATTTTTTCAAAAGTATACACAGGAATTTAGTACATTATGGACTGATATGCGTGTACTATTGTTTTTTTTTTTTGAGTGGGCATGAAATCATATGTCCCACGCCTTTAAATCAAAGACACTAATTTATTAGCCGTCAAATCGACTAAAGCAAACGATATGAATACCAGACAATAGTCACAATATTAATATGCAAATGATCTATTTAGAATGTCTCAAGAGTGAATAATGTTATAAGGTAAAATGAAAATAAAGCGATGGAAATTAATATAATTTGACATTTGAGAAATGGTTTTAAGATTTGTTGAAAGGAAACATTAGTAAGGTGTCGAGACTTATTGTTGTCACAATCTATACTATAATTCAATTGGACTGAAGAACGCCGCCAGCTCTTTATCATTATCTATAGAGTCGTTTTCAAGGTTCACGCCAGCATTAAAGGCAAAACTAGGTCTGTTTGATTTAAGTTCATCTCCTGCACTCGACACGTGA